AAAACCCGCAGCAAACTTGCATCATCTCCTTGAAATTACACCTGGGAAGGGCGTAGAGGGAAGGCACTCAGCGTGCACATGAATATTTAGACACTGATCACATGGCTCCCACAAAACCCATCCCTGAGGGCAAATACTTTTATATGGTCGGGAGAATGTGACTCAAAAGGCTCACAAATACTTCTWCATGGTCAGAAGAATGTAGATCTAAATCCTCACAGCTCATTTCCTATCCTGAAATAAAGTATCTGTGAAGGGTATTTTATTTTTGTGAAGAAAGTCAGAAAGGTATMGTGGATAATGACTCCATTAAAACTCAGGAATTTAACTATGAGAGAGAAATTTTTGCCTCTCCAATAAAAATTAGAAAAGCACTTTCTTCCTGTTTATTCTAACCACTTTTAGGTGAGAAATAAAAGCTTTGTAATATGTAGAGAACATGGAATTGAGGTCACAGTTCTAGCAAGGAATCTGAAGGATGGCAATTATCACCTTTATTCTGYATTCAACATCATGAAAACAAAAAAAGCACCCCACAAAAACAAATTAATACCTAAATTAAGTTCACTAGATACCCATATAAATATAACAAGTTACAAGTGGGAAAAAACACCCTTAAGTCTTCTGTCTTAGTCTAATTTYAATWAAAATGAGAATTATACAGATTAGAKGGAAAAACAATTYGCAAACAATGTCAGTGCTGCTCTTACCGGCGCTGCTCTGCCTCCCTCATTTTTCGCTGTGCTTTGATTTTGTCAAAGGGGACAATCCCTTGTCTCTCTCTGCTCTCTGATTTGCGGTCCTGGCTCTTAACACTCTGTATTTCATAGAGAAATTTTAATTTATTAAAGGACAACCACCACAAAAAATACTAGAAGTTCTGTTTCCATTCATACAATTCAGATTTCAAAGCTGCTTTTTTCCAAAAAGCTGTTCTGTTTTAACATTACAGATACCATATTACTAATTACATTAATACACCACATTATTGATATATATTAATACAATAATATCTTCCCCCACTTGTTTGGCAGGATTGGATTGCTGAATATGGTATCAGCCAAATGACAGATATTTTACTAATTAAGAYCTAAATCCACATTATAGAAACTCTAATTAGACAAACTGGCAAGACAAGTGGGGGTCACACATAGCCTGTCAGGATTCAGGATTTGTTTCTTARGAAAAGGTTTCCCAAGCAGAAACATCACTTACTCTGTCTTTTGATGTAGTGGATGTTTTCACACTAATAACAGGTTCTCCTTTKGATTTATCCATGACTACTGTTCTCTCTGTTCCTTTACTTCCTAAATAAATCAGAAGTGGAAGAAAATAATCAAATTACACGATCTACACCACTCATTGCCATGCCAGAAGTTCTGTTCTCGACAATGTGAAAATGGGCATTTAACCCTCTCTTCAAAACCAGTTATTTCACTACCCCTAATCCAAGTACTTCTCTTAAGCATGACACAATGTCAAACATCTTCCCCTTATTCATTCTGGATTTTCARCTAAGAATCAGAAACAATCCCAGAACATTTCTTTGCAAAGAACYACCTACAATTAAATATTCCTACATCAACATATCTTTTACTCTATAAAAAAACAACAGCCAAATTACCTGATTTAATAGTTTTAGGTTGATCTGATGAACCAGACTTCTGGTCATCTTTATCYTTTTTCTCCTTTTCATCTTTGTCTTCTGTCTTTTTAGAATCATCTTTTTGGTCAGATTTCTCGTCCCTTTTAGCACCAGGTCTGTGGATAGATATTGATACAGATTATACTAACACACACTGAGAAAAAATTCAAGGAAAATGCCAGCAACACAGCAACAAAATTAATTTCTGATGTGATAACAATCTAATTAGATTTCCAAACATTTCCTTCCACAACTTCCTGCACCATTAAACAAGATATTCACACCATCCTGTGTAGTTGTCAAAAACTTGGCCAGGTTTCAGGTATCTCAAGTGGAAGCATAAGGACWAAGTCACACCACCACGTGCTTAATGCTCACAAAGTTTCTTACACAACAAAACAATGAACTATTTTTGTCAGGCAACTAGGTGAAATAAAAGCAAAAAGTTCCCAGCAGTAGCATTTAATAGAARTTATGCCTCAAAAAGATAATTAAGGCAAAGAGCTTAGTGTTTCATTCACTCTCTTAGCGCCTCATTCATTGACTTTCAGAAATGCTAGAGAGGAAGAGCACAGTGCTCCAGAGGAATATGATCTGGGAACAGCATCTTGGACATMTTTGAACTGTTTGGGACCTGGAGGAAACCCTATTTCAGTGAGACAGAAGGTAATGAARAAACAATGACAAACAGATCAAAATTCTCAAATGGGCTTTCCTACAGATTTAAGACATGAAAGACCTGKAATCTTTACTAAAACCCAAATATGACTAAATTAAAAGGTGTGCTTGGAAATGCAGCTTTCTAATGATTATTTTAAAGCATGGAAATATTTTAAGCTAGGCACTGATCATCAACAGTTTATCCTGTAGTAAAAGCTGAAAAAATCCACGTACTCCTCTTTTTGAATGTTCACCACAGAAACTCCTACTGTAACTTTAATTTTCCTGATATCAACACAGACTGAAGAACAGCAAAACACCTTTGGTAGGAGAATTTTTAACACAGTACCTCTCACTGACTGTTTCTCTCTTTGCTTCACTCTCTTTTTTTTCACTTGTCTTCTTCCCAGCGGGTTCATTTTTGGCCTGAAATTTATTTTGCACATCATCAGCTGAGAATGTGGCCTCGATCATTTGCACAATCTGGTGGGAACTCGCTAGCTCTGAGGACCAGTACTCACTTTTTCCACTGAAATGATCTTGCCATGCAGCTCTGTTTTGTGCAGGTGAGTGATGCACTTGGTGGCCTCCTCAGCTGTGGACATCGTAACGAAGCCGTAGCAGCGAGCGCCGGGACTGCGAGCGTTGGTGACCACCTTGGCACCCACCACCTTCCCAAAAGAAACAGGAATTACYCTCCTTGTTCCCAAATCCCTCAGGTTTAGCCGCAAGAATTACAAGCTCTATTTCTGCTCTTTTTAATTCCTGTCCATTTCCATGCAGGAAACTTCTGGTTTTGAAAAATGAACAAATATAAAAGGARCCAACCATGTTTCTGTTACCAATGCAGTGCTACAAAAGCTGAAGCAATTGATGGGAACTGAAGCTTGAAGTCCTTAAAAAGCCTTTAATAAATATTAAATTCATAGTTGACTGCGAATTTTCAGCAGGTAAAGATACCATGATGCAGCACGGGAGGCAGAATTGTGTGTAAACAATTGTATTTCAAATAGAGGASCACAAATGGAATTTTATATTTGCTTGGAAGTGAGCAACAGAATAAAAAAACCCCAGTCATTCTGTGTGTACTTCGGTAATTTTAAATGTGATATCCCATGACATTTATGATAAYTGGATTCCTTTCACTGGTACTTCTAGTGATTAGAGTGATTAGAGATTAAAGAGTCTTATTACCACAGTTTTAAGCAGAAAAAGCAAACAAAACGAACACCAAAACAAAGAGAAGCAACCAAAAAGAACCCCTTACCTTCCCATATTTGCTAAACAGATTCTTCAGATCTGTAGCTCTGGTGGTGGAAGCCAATCCACTCACCCAAAAGTTTCTACCAGAACCGCTGGCACTGCGACCTAGTTGGGAAAACAAACAGACAAAACCAAAACATACCCCAAATACCAATTATTTGAATTAATTATCTGAATCATTATGTGAATTAAAACAGAGCAGTATCCCAAATTTTCAATTTTTTTATAATCACAGAGCAAGCGAAATCCAGTATGTCACATTCTCCTCCCATGATTTGCTTTGCTGAAGGTAAGGAACATTACAAGCCCAWAAATTTGGGTGGAACCATGAGCTTTGACACACTATTATTTTGTAACATTCTTTAAGAAAGCAGCTGGATTAGGGAACCTCTGAATTAACTGAGGCTCTTGAAAACGTGCCTAGATAGATCCCAGTAACTCAGGACTTACAGAAAAAGAGAGAAGCTCCCTGCAGGAGCCGTGTGAGCACCCCATAAATGCTCATGTCTTGCCTCCTTATCTCAACTCCAAKGGAAGGATGGTGAGATGCAGAATTTCCTCCCAAGGAAAGCCATTCACGATCAAGAAACTCAGAAAATTTCTCTWTTTCTGCCCACACAGATCCCCAGTWRGGATATGGAGCCTGACTTCMRTTGCAGGAGTTAGGAATGTCCTGGCCTGCTTTAGCCATTCAAGAATGACAGAACACCTCTCCAATTCTGCATTCCAGCTACAAAGATGACTGAATAAATGCTAATGAATTATAAAGTCTGAAAATCCAACATCAAGTGATTAAAAAGTGATCCAAACTCCAAATTTGAGTGTTTCCATTTCAGCATGAAGCTCTTACACAAGGATTACTGTTTCCACTCTCCTTTGAAATGTCTTTACTGTCCTGTCAGTCTGGGCAGTTCAAAGGCTTCAGTGAGTGGGTTTCTCTCCACCAACCTTCCATACTTTTTTCTGGTGATCTATGGAATTTAACAGAACCTCTTTCATCAAGGAAAGAGGTTTTCCTCAGAACCTTTAAAAATGCTATTTCATTTGGGTGCCTTTCCATCTTCTATTTCCTGATAATTTCAGTCATTGTCCCAAGTAACTGATAACACAGTTCTTAATATTTACAYAAGTTTTCTASGGAWGGATGCAGTGATTTGTATCAATYTCTTAAAAAAACACCCAAAMCAAAAAGAGACTTTTTGTATWAASGTGACCAGGTATGAACCTGCCATCATTTATCTCAAAAGWGCACTGACAAAGGTCTGTCATGCACACAAATAAATGGGAGATGCATTGTTTGGTGTTTTAGAAAGCTGAGCCAAAGGCTTTGATGCTTTTACTCCACACATTTCTACAATTTAGAAGTTACTGCCGGCAGTTACACCGGCACCAGAATCCTGGAGAAAGAAGAAAGCACTCATTGTTCTCCTTTTGCTATTTTACTGATGAGTTTTTAAAGATTATTTCAACTCTTTTAATGTTTTAATGGCCTTCTCGATTAAGGATTGATCAGTCTTAACATCTCCAGCTTCTGCCCTACCATGAGACTTTTAAAAGTGCTCCTACAATGGTACTGCACTTTTAAGACAAAGAAATTCTGGGATTTTAAAATATTCTCTAATTTAGAAACAAGAACCATGTAGGTCTTGGGAGTTAACCATCAACACTGGAGACATCTTTCAGATGTGCATCCATCAACTGCCAAATCCACCAGGCTCAGCTCATAAATTTATTTTTCTGCACTCATTCTGATCTCAGAATTAATGCAGGGAACATAGAAAGCCCTTCATCCTAAATAAAATCCTTTCATACAGGTCAGAAATGATTTGTATGTATTTTTTTAGCTTCTTTCTGGCTCTGCATGCAGAGAACGTTACACAGCCAAGCAGCTCCCTCTCAGCACTCCTGTTCACTAAGCCAGGAAGTGAATACAATAAATGTCATGGAACACAGCAGATCCTTTGGAAAAAAGGATGCAGGAGCAAGGTGGTCATCAGAGAGCCAACTCCTGAAGGCTGTTTTGACTGCAAACTCTAGAAGTGTTTTCTCAATCCAAAAAAAATGCTCAAGTCCTTAGGTAAATGACAGCATGCACAGAACATATTCAGCATGCCCTGAAATATTCTGAAGTAAGAGAATGTGAGATTAAAGACTGGAAGCAGTAAACAAATTGACCCTAACAAAGCTGACAGGGAGGTCCAGCAGCTTGTGCAAACATGTATAACCCAGTATGTTGAACAGGCAGCTCACGGAGGTGAGTCTGTTATAAACCCAAATYAAAACCTAACAAATTCCTCCTGTCCAGTTGGCAGACAGACCTCATAATGAGTTTCTTGCTTTTTGAAGGAATTACTGGTGCTTCCACATTTAGAAGTGCTGAAACACCTGCCAGCAGCATGTAAGAAGAATGTTAACAGTCAGTTCCAAATGTTCTGCCCTGTGCAGGCAGAGAACAGAGAGGTGGGGTGAGCTGCAAACACTCAGCTGCCTGGTGCATTAAAAGGAAAAAAATAGGATGAAAAGGAGGAGCAGGCAWCTTACTGCTGATCAAAATATTTTCTTCTTGCTTATGATGCATATTGGCACCAAAAGCAGAATCTGTGTGGACAAAGATTTAATAAAATCAATGTAATTTAAAAACAACGTTAAGCTGTAAGATTGGTGGCATTTAAATATGTGAATTCTAGATCCTAAATTACTTCAGCAAAACAGAAGATGGGAAGGAGAACATAGCAAAGCAAGGACAACTGCAAAAGGTAACAGCTGTTAGTGGGCAYCTTCAGTGCCATAAAAGGCGCATTTACCATGTATTAACATCAACCTTAAAAACCAAGATACAAACAAAACAGTGCAATGCACATATTCTGAAAAAAATGCATAAAAGSTAAATGCTTATTTTTATATGAACAAAGAAAAGCCACAAAGAGGTGAATTTATGCTGTTCAACAACTGCAGAGATTGCAATCAATTTCTGCTGATATACCCCATCCAAAACAAACAGCAATCCAAGCAATCATTGAAGTTTTACATCTGAAAACAAACATACCTTTCTCATCTTTTGAGATTATCTTTGTATCTCTGTCCTCCTCAACAGGGCTAAAGACAAAATACCACATTATTCAAGTCAGAAAGAAAGGTGACAAAACATAAATTATGAAAAAAAGCTAAAATTAAATACCTACCAGAAAACATGTGGCAAATGAAAACACACCTTTGTATACTTGATTTAAGAAATCTGACAAGAAATAACGAAGTCAGATTCTTAAACAGACTTACATTAAGAAGATGATTACAAATAAGAGTAATTTGGGAAAACAACCTTTGAAGGTTGATGAAGGAAAGAAATCAAACCCACTGCATTTAAAAAAAATAAAAATATCTGCACATGGAGAAATAAAAGAGACCCTTTAGGAATAGGCTACAATTTCAGCAGTCTCGGAGGCCAATTGAAGGAAACAGCTTATTGGCATCACTTAAGGACCAATGATAAAAGATAGCATCTGGTCTATAACGGAGAAAAAACAAACCTCTTTTTCTGATCACCGCCCTCACTGGCTGAGGACTCTTTAGTGGCAGGGGAAGATTCCTCTGAATTAGCTTTGTCTTCTGCTCTCTTGCCATCTTCTTTGCTATCTCTGGCTTCGGCACCTGCGCCTTTCTCCGCTGTCTCCCCACTAGAGGCTTCCAGGCCTTGGCAGCGTTTGCTACTCTGATCGCTTACGCTCTCTACCACTACACCTTCAGAGTCCGGGGCCTCTTCCTCGGGGCTCTGTTCACTTGTCTCCCCTTTTGCTACCACTAAACGCTTTGCTTCCTTCCTTGCCAAAGCTTGGGCCGATTTGCTGTCCAAAGCTAAAGCATCTTCCTCCAACTGAGCCGCAGCAAGAGCGTCCTCTTCCTCAGCCAGCCTCTTGCCTGGCCCCGCGTTACTGGCTTCCTGCGCGCGCGGCCGCTCCGCTTCCGCACCTTCTTCGTTAAGTAGCTCAGATTTACAAGTTTCCCCCAAAATGTCGAGTATTTTCTCATTTTCTACGGATTTAACAGGAATAGAATGGCACAAGATTTAATCACCAGGGAAATACAGCAATCACAAATGTGGAACTGGCATGGCTGCCACACTAACACCAAGAGAACTGCTAAGCTACACAGAGATTGGAAAACCCTAGTGTACACAGTGTTACAGCTACCACGCTAACTGCTCTCTCACACACTGCCAAATCAGCCCTACCACCTGAACAGGGAAGAAAAATGCCCCCACAGATTTAACAAAAAACTTCGGGCTCAGCCTTCATATTCTTCAGCAAATCGTTCAGCTCTGTTTCTTCTCTAGTTAGCTTCCAGAGTCCGAGATGCTTAACTGAACGTATCAAGGYASTGAGAGTTCAATTTTTAAATTTCTGTGAAATTCTTTTAGCAGAGACAGTCCAACATGAGAACTGGGCATCTTCTGATGGTGCATGAGTGTGTTTGCAGTCCAGAAAGGGAAAAGTATCTGTATGAAATTTCCATGAAGAAACTCTCTTCTTTCTTCTGTATCCAGTAACTAATCTTTACATTTTAATACCCTACAATATCTTTTTACTGCTTTCACTGCTCTCTACTTAGTAACAGAGTTAAGGTGTGTGCAATATCACAAGATCTGTTTACAAGTAGAATATTTAGCTTTTAAAACTGTGATTAWACTTCTCTAAATCCATTTATGTAGTTTAACAGGTTTTTAAACCATTTCATTTCACTGGAAGTATTTCAAGCATCACTTCACAGATCTGGGGATATGATTGGGTTTCCAATCTCTATGACCCTGCATGATCTGGATTGTCCATTATAAAAATAATGTAAATTATGTTTGTTTGCTTGTTTTTTTTAATAGTTAATGGTTTAAAAAGTATTAGTTGAAAAGACAGGAATATGTTTTTCTTTAACAGTACCTGGCTCCAAGTGTAGCTTCTCCATTTTCTGTTTGGAAAAAAAAAAGACCACAGAATGAGGATTTTATAAAATGTAGGTTTTAAACACTGAATAATAGCAACTACCTGCCCAGTCCCAAACCTAAAAACTATATAAATTCATCCACAACATTCAGAACTTCTTTTCATTTGCAATTGAGTATTTTGTATAGGTGAATTTTCTGTCACATTAAAGCCAAATCAAAATATCAGCCATAACTGTAATTCTGAATTTTGAAGAGACTGGTAATGTCTCTTTGTGCACCACCCCAACAACTGAAATAAAAAAACCAAACCCAGCTACTGCCTTATACAGTCAGAGGGAAAGAAGAAATCAACAGTATAAGAACCTTTTTATCTGTCGTGAAAATGAAAGAAATCTTGAGAGTTGATTGGAAAGTGGGGAAAAAAACCACAGGGCATCCTCATTCCACAGATTGTGCTGAGCAAGGTCATGAATGTCTTGGGTTCTGTTACAATTTTGTATTGTGGTCACGTTTTCTTTGTGTAGCATGAGAACTGAGTAAATATTATAACGCAACACACTGATAACATGACAATCAGAAATACAGCTACATTTTCAGTTTACCTTCATTTCAATTAAATCAGAAGAGGTGGCTTCTAAACTGTTTTCAATTTCATCATAATCTTCCTAAAAGAGTAAGAAAGGAATGAAAGCACTTCTTACCAGATGTAGCTTAAGGAGAATACACCTGCATTTATTTTTTCCTACCAAGAAATATTTTAAAATTTTTGACAGATCTCAATTGCTACTTCAGATTGTGACCCAAAAATGAGGAGCAACATGTAAACATACCTGATGATTAAATATGTTTCTCCAATTATGTTTAATTTTAATTTGGACATTGTCTACTTCAAAGTTAAGAATCTTATTTCACATTTCTGTGGTTACTGAACATGTTTTTTTCATTTTTCTACTTTTTAACTTTACTTTCTAAATGAAAGAAACAAGTTAGAAATGCCGACTTAGGTTTCCACTTTTCCAAAAGGAAAACATATCCCAAAAATCTTCCTCCCTTAAAGAGCCAAGAGTAAGATGCAACCACAACTCATTGGTTACGTAAGGTTAATTTGTAGATCCCCACAAAATTGCCTTTCAGGTGAAGTGAGTGTTGTTGCAATGACTCTGTGTTCAGTTCCATGAAAGGGGAGATTTTCTCCAAGACTTCTATGTTTGATTGGTCTGTTGGGATGCAGACACCACAGCCAGGCTCTGCTGAAATCCTTGCAAAAGGGGGAATTTTGTGGTACCTTGGAGCTGACAAGCCACAGAGCAGCTGTCAATCAAAGCAAAATAAAGATTTCTTATTGTTGGAACCAGCAACATGCACAGCTGTGGCCCAAACGTGACCTCAGGTGTGGCACTGGTGTCACTCACCCACCTCCAAGGTTTGGCCACCCCCCACTGAACAGGATGCACAACTGAAGTCACTCAAGCTCCACCTAAATGTGAAAACAGTGTGAAATTAAATTAAGAGTGTGGAGAAGTTGGGGAAGGCTCCACTGCAACAGGGCTGAACCTGTTTTCTCCCCTTTATTGATGTCTGTTGGGTAAGAATCATACTCCAAGTGATGAATGATAAACTCCAGCCAGCTTTTGGTAGGAATTAAAGATGGTCAGTATGTTGTTTGGTTGTTTTTGATTTTTTTTTGCAGCCAGATGCTACCACCAGCAATCCTTGAGCCTCAAGCTAACACAATTTTCCATTATTTTAATTATGTTATTCCATAAACTGTTAATGTGAGTCCTTCAAGGGCACCAGCAGCTGCCTGCAGTAACACATTCGACTGAGAAGAACTGGGACAGAAGTCTCTCTTATGCTCTGATTGTGTGACCCTCACCAAAGCAGTGGAACCACTCTCTGATCCAAGGGACTGCTCAGTGAAGGGTCCCTATAACAGGATGCTGGCACTTTCAGGGCATCATCTAAGGATCATAGCCTTGCTGTGGCACTGACAGACCAATCAAACACAAATGCTTTGAGAAAATCCCCTTTTCAGGGCACAGAAAATAAATGATAAAAAGTTGAGACAGATCTGCAGGAAGCAAGAAAGGAGAATGTTCTGCCTTGTGAGTGAATAGTCTAAAATTAAAAAAAAAAACCCAAACCCACAAGGATTCAAGAAGGACAATATTTGGGGACTGAATGTGAAATACGCTTTACCCTGTGCTGTCTGCAAATGACATTGCAAGCAGCTCTCAAAACCAAGCCAAAGCCTGGCAATGTCAGAACAGGGCAACATAGGAAGTTCTTCTTTTATTAATCTCTATGAGAAAACAGAACAATACAACTTCCTTAAACCAAAGCATTCTTTCTGCAGAAAGAATTTCAAATTACCTGAGCTGAAAATTTACTTTTCTCTCTCTTCAYATACGTATATATATAAATACCAGGATGSCTGGCTATATGCATATATACACTTTGATACACAAACACACAAACAAGAAGTGGGAATTCTGAAACTAACACAGTATTTTCAATTCCAGGGTCCTTTCATGGCAAGCAAAGATGATACTGCAAAGTAAGTAAGACGGTGACTTGTCTACTGAGAACATTTCAAGCCTCAAGAATATTTTCTATTTAATAGAGGGGGACTTGGGAGCTGCGAATGAGAAACAGAATCTAAATCACACTCATGTCCTATATTTACTGGACTGAAACACCTTGTTCATGGGCCCACATACCTATTAAATACTGTCTGAAAAATAACCAAGACCTGTACTCACTCACCTCATTTTCTGTTAGCTGATCAGGAAGCTCTTTCATTTCTGCTTCAACATTATCTTTATTATCAGACAGAGAATCGAGAATATTGTCAGAACTATAATCTTCTCCACAGTCCACAGCACTGCTGTTATCTATTTCAGCTTCATCTAATACACTGATATCCATCATGTCGATATCCTGCAAGGTATCCAGATTTGCTTCAATATCCTCCTACAGAGAGAAAAAGGGTAGATGTGTATTTATTGCAGATTATATGATGTTGATTCTTAGTAACTGCAATCCTGATTTCACTTACCTGTCCATCTCTAGAGTTTTCTTCTAGACCATTGTCTTCCACACCTTCTTCTTCTGGTTTTCTTCCTACAAACAGTATCATTGTAGTGAGATGCAGCAGTACATTTTGTAACATGTTTAAACCTTTGAACAGAGTTTATTTCAGCAAGTAATCATTAAGAGGCTGATTCACAAGTCTGGGTCTGTATGGATATAGCAGAGGTCACCTTGCCTGTCCGTAAAAGCAAACAGCAGGAGCACGAACTAAAAGCAGCACACATTTTTTCTAAAGCTACAGTATTTTTTCTAGAGCTACAGTCTCATTCCACAACACTTGAACACCTAAAAAGACACAGCACTCTCTCCTTAATCCATTTAAAACTAACTCCTTAAGATTATTACAAAAGAACCTCCCTTAATTAACCTGGTTTAGAATTAGTGTTCACTTTCAAGACCTTGGACAGACAGATCACGTTTAGGCACATCTGCCACCCCCAAACTCCTACTGCTATTCAAAGACAACAGCTCTCTTTCTATTTTTAGCCCCTCTATCTTAAAGGAAACAGCTTAATAATCAGTTTCTCTCCAAGGACTATTTTTTAAGAACTGGGTATAACCAATTCAAGCAAGCCACACATAACAAAACATACACAATAATCAATATTTTGAAGCAAAATGTAGTTAAATACAGTCATAAAGACTTCACACAAGAGCTTATTCAGCAACTACTTGTCCTGTATCTGACGCAATTTTACTCATGGTCACAAGTACTGAGACACCTGCAATTTTAACTTTCATCTTCAGGTTTCTACACTTGCTAATAAAATACAGTCAGCAGTCATATTATCATTTAAAGTTGTTTTTACTCACTAATACAGGTGAGTTTTACCACTTCCCGCAAGGCAAAAAGTACTTCTTTTTTTTTTTTTAAATTAATGAAACAGAAGACATCAAGTTTGTATGCCAAGTTCTAGCTACACGCAAACACTGGAACTGCAAAAGTGTCCAGACACCATACCTTTACTAGTTCTTTTTGGCATTCTTTTGGTGGTCAGCTCTGAGGCCACGGGAATTTCGTCAGGATCTCCTCCTTCCTCCTCAATGGCCTACAGGAGACAGCAGGATGACATCCACTGTATTATTTGTTGTGCTGGGTTTGGATGGGATGGTTAATTCTCTCCACAGCAGCTGGTAGGGGGTTGTGTTGTGAATTTGTGCTGAGAACAGTGTTGATAACACACAGATGTTTTAGGCATTGCTGAGCAGAGCTAACACAATGTCAAGGGCTTTTCTGCTGCTCAGCCTCAGTGAGCAGGCTGGGGGGACACAAGGAATTGGGAAGGGACACAGCTGGACAACTGCCCAAAGGGATATTCCAGAGCATAGAGTGTTGTGATCAGCACTAAAACTGGTGGAAGCTGGTGGGGCTGCCATTACTTGGGGTCTAGCTCAGCATCAGTTGAGCTGGTTGGCAGTAAGGAATTATTTTCTTTCACGTCACTTGTTTTTCTTGTGTGCTTTTTTTAATTTCCTTCACCTATGTTGGTTTTTTTTTCACACCCTTACATTTCTTAAAATTATAGAACTGTCTTTATCATAATCCCACAAGTTTACTCTTCCTTTTACCCTTCCATTTCCAGCCCCCATCCTAAGTGAGCGGCCATGTGGTGCTTGGCTACTTACTAAGGTTTAACAATTTTTAAGGATTTTTCAGGTGGGAATACTGGTGTCTCTCCCCAGTTCAGATCATACAACCAAGCAGCTGTATCACCTGTCAGAAACACTAAACAATTAGGTGCAACACATTCCCATAGTCAAATCAAGTTACAACTGGGGAGCAAAGCTCCCTGCTCTGCCCGTAAGTACTTTAACGGTGTAAAATTAAGAGAGACTTACAGGAACTCAGGTGCATGAGTTTTTTTCTCAATATGCACAGTTAGAACCCATAAAGGGCCAGGACTAACCACGCTGTTCTGGCCTCATGGAAGTCTGTGAGAATACATTCCAGAGAGGTCAGAGGTGGAGTCGGGTGAAGTGTGGTAGTGCCAAGCAGTAAGACAGAACCTGATGCACAGAAAGTTCCACCTAAATGCGAGGATAGAATTCTTTACTGTGCAAGTGATCGCACACTGGAACAGACTGCCCMAGGAGAGTGTGGAGTGTCTCTCACTGGACACTGAAATCAAGACCTATTCAAGAACAGTCCGGACGAAATCCTGTACCATGGGCCATAGTACAAAAGCCTGCTGGAGCAGATAAACCACTGTGATCCCTTCCAACTTTACCCATCCCGTGAACGGTATAGAGAGGAATCATGAGAAAAGATATGGGAAAGAGGCACATGTGTGCATGCCGGGGAAACGGGAGGGTAAACGGGGGAAGGATGCGTCAGGAAACGAGGGAAAGGCCAGAGCCATCTCACATTCCATCCAGTGCAATCTGAGCCGCGCTCCAGAGCAGCCATGGAGCCAGGACGGCGGAACGGGCGCCTACACTTCGGAACGGGGTAAAGAAACAGCGCAGAGGAGACGGCTCAGTAGCGGTCCGAGGAAACAGCACAAACCGGTGCCTAACAACACCCGCGGTTGCCCGGGAGCAGCACGGGAACCCCGCTCCCCTCAGGGCTGCTCCAGGCCCCGGGCCCGGCCCTCAGCGCGCATGCGCCGGGAGCGCCACAGACAAAGGACCCGGATGGCCCCACACCGCTCCCCCCCATCCTCCCCCCGCCGGGCTTCCCCTCACCTTCCTCAGCCGCTCCATCAGCACGCTCTTGTTGCCGCCGCTGTCCAGGTTACGCCGCTTGAGCTCGGCCCGCAGGTCGATGACTCGCAGCTCGCTCAGCCGCCGGGTTTCAGGTTCCGAACCGAAAGCCGCGGCCCCGCCAAGGGATGTGAAATCCCCCAGTCCGGCCGCTGATTGACTCTCCGCCATCAAGGCCCCTTCGCTGTGTCGCCTCGAGCCCGAACGCGCGCGCGGCACAACCCAGCAGCGAACCTTGCGATCACGGCACAAAATGGTGGGGGAACAAGACACGCCGAGGGGAGGGGGAACAAAGCGCGCTGTGCGCATGCGCGGGCGGGGAGGCGGTGGGCGGGGCCTGGCGGGCGGATCGTCCCGCGCATGCGCAAACGGCGGCGCCCGCGTCCAAGGACGGCTCGCCTGCTGCTGCGCATGCGCCGAGGGGCTCGGGTCAGGCCGGCCGCGTGACGTCACCGCCGCTCCGGAGTTGGCGGCGGCTCGGCGCGCGCAGCCTTCCCCGCGCCCCGGCGCGCATGCGCGCTGCTGCTCCTTCCCCTTCCCGCCCCCTCGCTCTCCCCTGCGGTTCGGTTTTTTCCTCCATTTTGTGCTGCGGCTGCGGCTCTCCCGCGTTGTTTTCATCCCGCCTCGCCCCGCCCGCGCGAGTCCAAACCGCGGCCCATGGCGGAGAGTCACTCAGCGGCCGGGCTGGGGGAGTCTGCGTCCCTGGGTGGCCTTGGAGTCCCCGCTTCGGAGTGTGAAAGCCGGCGGCGGCCGCTGAGCGAGCTGCGCGTGATAGACCTGCGGGCCGAGCTCAGGCACCGCAACTTGGACAGCGGCGGCAACAAGAGCGTCCTCATGGAGCGGCTCCGGAAGGTGAGAGCGGGCAGGCGCGGCGGGGCTGCCTGAGGGGAGGCGGGGGAATGACCCCGGCCCGGCCGCTCTTTGGCGCCATTTTCCTGAGGGGTGCCCGCCGGGCCGGGGCAGCTCCGCGGAGCCCGCCACGATCAGTGCGAGCATTCGGTGCCCGGTAAAGCTGAGCCTGCACTTGGCCGTCCCAGTGTCGCCCTGTGACCGCCGCTGTCACAGGGTGTCATCGGGTGCCCCTCCTGTTCCCTAGACCTGTCCAGCCGCGGCACTCGACCCAATTCTCGCCTCATGCACCACAATCTGCTGTCCTCTGAGTTCCTGGATTTGCAGTTCTGTACGCTGTCTTTTTGCTGCGTACTGATGTTTTTCTGGCTTTACAGCCTGAACGCTATATCCTCATCACAACGTTTCGTGAGTTAATAGCGTGCAGAATACCTTCACTGACCAGCTGCTTGCTGTGTCCCAGAGCCAAGATTCCTACTCTGTCACAACAACCTGTGTGTCTGTGGAGAGTCACAGATGCTGTAGGATTGACGCTTTTTGCTGATTGCTTTCCATAAAACTTAAACTGGCTGCCTTCTGCGTCCTTGTTGCTCTGATCTGGTGATTTTTCGTTTGCATATTCAAGTTGGTGATTCTTGGTTTGGAATTTTTCCAGCCTCTGATGTCCAGCACCTGAACTCAATGAAAACGTACAACCAAATCTTTTACATTTATCTTTATATCTGTCTTTATCCTTTCCCATGCTAGGCTATTGAGGAAGAAGGAGGGAATCCTGATGAAATTCCAGTGGTTTCGGAAAACATCATGAAGAAAACTCCGAAAAGAAGTAGCAAAGGTACAGGGTAGTTAGAGGGGCTTTCTACCCTCTCATCCTTGAATTTTCAAGTAACTATTCATTAAATGGAACCTTGCAAATCTTTTTTTTCTGTTACTGGTACTCTTCCCCACATTTGTGGTCAGTTTTCATGGGATGGGTGGTACAATATTAAACTTAGCAGTCATTTATTCACAGAATTTCATGTGATTTAGTAAGGCAGGAAATGGTCTACACAAAGAATCTGCTTGTTTATTCTCAGAATTCGCTGAAATTTGTATCAGGAATTAGTGAATAAACTGAAGCAGCATCAGTGTTTTTAATAGTTAGTTTTTTAATGGGACTGTACCTTTTGAGAAAAGGTGCTGTTTTTTTTTGTAGAAATGCAGAGTTTCTAGTAAGTGCAAAATAATCCGTGTAATCTTGTGCTTCATTGCTTGCAGACTAAAATGTGAAATTTTGACCAGACAGAGAGCAAATGTCTCAACTATGGGCAAAAGCAGAGATTTTTTTGTAATCATGTTTATTTTCAAGTCTCAGAAGATACCTAATATATATTACAGAACTTCTAGTGTTGGGATGGAAATAGATGTGGCTCTAAAACTCCTTTCACTTTTCAGTTGTAATGTGCTTGTAGTTTTTGAGAAAAATAAAATTCATGAAAGATCGAAAAAGAGTTGCTCAGCTCTGAGTTTGAGGAGTTGCTCTTTGGTGCTGAAGCTGGTGTAGTGTTTTCAGTAATGCCAGTTGGGATGATTCATGTCCAGCTGGTGAACAGAGCACTGCAGCAAAACT